CCGTTAGAGCCTACTGACCCTGCTTCTGCGCCCATCCCATCAACTCAGGCCATCGGGAGCCCCAATCCCCCGACAAATACGAGCGATCCGTCCAAGCAGCAACATTTGCTGGTCCCAAGTCAATCGCGTTCATCATCGAAGGCGGATGGTCAATCAACGTTAGACAATAGACAGGATGCCGCGCATGATGATTCGGAAAACACGCTTCGAGGTTCGAGAAGGAGCATCTTAAAGGGGCGGAGGGACAGAAGTAGAGGGAGTAGCAAGAGATCTTGGCGGCCATCTCAGGGGCCAACAGGTACCGATGAGCAAAAGACAGCGACTAATTCTGAGGCGCGGGACAATCCCAAACCAGAAACCAAGCCCAAGGTTACGCTCAGGCTGTTCGCCTTTCTAAGTTGCTGCTCGTCATCTGGTGTCGATCCGGATGACTCTGCCATTCCGCCGAAGAAGACTGCCCGGCGACCTTCGGTCCCTGCAACCCAGCCTACACCGGAGAAAGCGGATCTCAATGTCAATCATTCGAGTCGGACGGAATCTGAAGAAGCAAAACTCTTTGGAGAGGAGAAGCCAAACTTGACTGTAACTTCAAATCAACCTTCCAAGGAGGAGGATAAAACTGCCAGTACCTCCGAGGAAGCCGCTCAGCTAGGTGGCAACCTGTCAGCTTCTGATAAATTCGAATCCAGCCATGAACCATCCTCCCATAATGGCCAAGTTGATACTACTCGCTCTGACGCCCCTCATAATGCTCAAATCCCAGTCATAGTGGCAACTGAGACAGAGGAACCCAACGATCTCGCGATCAAACCGGAAGAGCCTGCGGTATCACTGCCACTGCACGTTGAGGACAGCTCAGGCTCTATCGAAGCGCAACCAACTTCGTCTGCGGTCGAATACAACGACGTAAAGTCATCGCACGAAGAGGAAACTAGTCTGCCAGCCGAAATTCCTCTCCCTCCCCCTCCGCAAGTTCCTGTGGGAAAACAAATACAGATCGCGACTCTCGAAAGACCCCAGCAATGGCTTCTACCCCCTCCCTTGCCGCATTTGCGGAACCGGAAATGTCTGGTCCTTGACTTGGATGAGACGCTGGTCCACAGTAGCTTCAAGGTAATTCGCCAGCCTCTAAGCCCTTTCATGTAGCGAGCTGCACGTTTCTGACACACCACCGCAGGTTCTCGAGCGTGCCGATTTCACAATCCCTGTGGAGATCGAAGGCCAGTACCACAACATCTATGTGATCAAACGACCTGGAGTCGACCAGTTCATGAAGCGTGTTGGGGAATTGTACGAGGTGGTTGTCTTTACTGCCTCTGTTTCTAAGGTGAGTTTTCCTATCCCAATACCATTCCATGGATGGTTTCTGATTTGGACGAAAGTACGGCGATCCTCTACTGGATCAACTTGACATCCATAATGTTGTTCACCACAGGCTCTTTAGAGACAGTTGCTACAACCATCAAGGTAATTATGTCAAGGTCAGTAGCCTCCTTTTGCAGCGAAGATCATGATGAGAGCCAGCCATTGATATCTCTACTCTAGGACCTCTCACAGGTTGGCCGTGATCTTCGAGAGACGATTATCATCGACAATTCTCCAACTTCATACATTTTTCACCCTCAACACGCGATACCCATCAGCAGCTGGTTCTCTGACGCCCACGATAACGAGCTTCTCGACTTGATTCCTGTCCTCGAAGACCTTGCTGGCGCACAGGTAAAAGACGTTAGCCTGGTCCTCGACGTTGCGATGTAATCTGTGTAACTTTATCTCTTCCCGGCATTTTCCCCATCGAGCTACAGTCTCGATCTTTTACGTGATTGCAAAAAGAACGGCTCCCCCGGAACCGATTTCAATTGTTCGAGACATACGGAGGCGCGTCTTTCGTCATTCAAGCACTACCAAATCAGGAGGAGAAAAGTGCAAGCATCTTTTACCAGAACCTGCGAGGGTCACAGCTTATGTTTGAATCTAGCATAATCACTTCTTCTGACGTTTTGCCCTACCCCTTTTTCTATTCTCCCTTCCTGTGGCCCATATAGATGTGTGGGACCAGCATTTTGGTTTCGCCTGTCTGTGATTTTTCTAGACTGAGTCTTACCTATTCATCACCCATCCTATTTCTTTGTTCCAGCATCCTCTCCGATCCCGTCTCCGTTTCTTCTGCACTCCAAGCGAGCACATACCATATCCCCTCCCCCCCAGTTTCGTTCCCCTTCTCCCTTGTTCTTTTCATTGATCTGTTGCTGTGTGAGACTCTCTTGCATCAAGCAGGCGTCTATCTCGGCTTGTAGCCGAAGACTAGGTCTCATATACACGCTCCTCTGTCATCAACATTCTTTCTGCTTCAAATCCCCGCGCTTCATTCCCAGCATCAACGTCCCTCCAGAGCGCACGCCGCTGTCCAGTCCGTCGATACCTTTCTTTGTTGTTTTGTGATTACCCCTTCAACGCCAGCGTCCTCTTGTCATTCTTCAGCCCTGATTCGTTCCTTGGAACTCTGCCTAAGGAGCGGCATCTCCATAAAGGTCCCAGTGTGCAGGTCACTGTCCCTGGTATTTCGCAAAGCGTACCGTTGATTCCACACTTGGCGCAGAATTGTGACCTTTTAATGTATATGTACCTTGGCTCCGGCGCATGTGCTGTATATAAAAGCTCTTCCCCGAATACAGCTTGAACCATGTCCGATGACAATACCGTAAAGAAGACATAGGCAAAGTAATTGCGAACCTCATTTTCAGTTAATTGATTGCATCATAATTCTTCTAATAACATGGACATGATGCTGGCGGATTGTCCCTTGCTCTTCTGACAGAAGGCGGACGGGGAAATATGGCCCAGTAATGACTAGCGAAGAATAATCATCATCATCACCTGCACGCCACCACCATAGTACCAAAGACTTTCACGTTCAGGATAAAGAGCTACTTGCTTTTTCATGTGACTTCAGCCATCTCAATGCCCAAATAACTGCGCTCTGCGAGTTTCTTCTAGACCCTCTATAAACGTGTTCACCTGCCCGGTTCTGCCCCTCTTTACGCAGAAGAGCTCCCCCGCACTCCGTTACACGTTCCTCGGAGCCAACGACCAAAAAAAATCTCTCCGTCTGAGCTCACAAACACTTTGCAACGATGAAAGACAGTAAAGGCTGGGATGGAAAGCTGAGAGTCGAGCCTAAGGCTACGATCACGAATCCAGAGGCCCTGGAGGATCCAAATTACTCAGATTCTGATGCGCCACCAGTTGAGGAGATTGAGGCTGATGAGGGTAGGTCAATTTCCCTGTCTGAGACGTACCGGGGCATTGGCTGCAGTTGTGTTCCAGACTGATATTTGACTGTCGGCGCGTTTCGGGGGAAACTCGAATGGCTAATTGTTGGCAGATCTGCTTGAGGATGAGGATCGAGAGACGCAAGTATGTTTTCGCCTACAACAGGGTCCTAGTTTGGGGACTCGGGGCTCATGGCATCCTAGGAAATCGACCTCGTACATTTTCGCATCACTTCGATCCCAGCTTTGCGACTAGAACGATTCCCAAATCTCCAGGTATGTTGGCCCGCAGCAGCCCATGCGGCTTCCAAGGCTAACGGTATGATTCATGTAGAGAATATGCCTCCGACAGAACCAGATTACTCGCATCGACTTCCCCTCCGAAATCGCGCCCACGCTGCTCGAACTCGACCTCTACGATAACCTTATTTCGCACGTCAAGGGTCTCGATGAGTTCCGGGACTTGACGAGTCTAGATCTGAGCTTCAACAAGATCAAGCACATCAAGAATATCTCGCATTTGGTGAATCTGACGGATCTATACTTTGTTCAGAACAGGATATCCAAGATTGAGGGGTTGGAGGGCTTGACGAAGTTGCGGAATCTAGAGCTGGGGGCGAACAGGATTAGGGTGCGTGAATTCTAATGACACGAAGGAGGACTGGGCTGAATGCAGCAGGAAATCGAGAATCTTGACACTCTGACCTCGTTGGAGGAGCTCTGGCTTGGGAAGAACAAGATTACAGAAATGAAGGTTTGTCTCTTAGTTTGCCATATTCCCGACCAGGCTAACTCAACCCAGAACCTCGACGCGCTGTCGAACCTCCGCATCATCTCCATCCAGTCGAATCGGCTCACCAGCATTACTGGTCTCTCCTCGCTCAAGAACCTCGAAGAACTCTACCTATCCCACAACGCCATCACCGACCTCAGCGGACTCGAGTCCAATACCTCGTTGCGCGTCCTGGATTTCTCCAATAACCAAGTTTCGAAGCTGGAACACATCTCCCATCTGAAGAATCTGGAGGAGCTGTGGGCGTCCAACAACGAACTCTCGAGCTTTGAGGAGGTGGAGCGCGAGTTGAAGGATAAAGAGAAGCTGCAGACGGTATATTTTGAAGGGAACCCATTGCAGACCAAAGGGCCGGCGGTGTATCGAAACAAGGTGCGGTTGGCGCTGCCGCAAATTATGCAGATTGATGCGAGTAAGTTAACTTCCGTGGCTGTTCGGGCCCTAGGATGGGTTGCTAATGATTTCTAGCCTTTGTTCGGGTCGGGTGATGTTGTATGGCAAGGTATACATTGATAATGATTATGATAACAATGCATTTGTGGGCTGGATCGCCCAAATTCCCTCTCGTCTAGACTATACAGCTATAGGAGGCTTCTCTGTGTAGAAATAGAGTATGACATTCATGGTCAATGCCGTATGGTTGACTCTGCCAACCGTATTCGTAAGTGTTGCAGGAATCGGCTCACGAGGTAGTTGCGTATGGCCTCGTGTGGACGTACTGTATGTCCTCCGCGAGCAATATCTGGCCTTGACCGCGGTGTATACACGTCCCGGTCATCTCAGTGACTGCCAACCGATCTCGCTTTGTTTTCCAACAGCCTGGAGTTGGCGCAAAAGCATCCACATCCACGGTGACGCGGTGAAGTCTCTGCATGCTTCTTTGGCCATGTCGAGACCGAAAATCGTTACGAAGCTCTGATTGCACACTCGTCCACTCATCTCTCCCCCAACCTATCCACTCCGGCCTCCTCTCGATCTTCCCTCCCAGCTTCCTCCTGCACGTGCCCCTCCTTCCCGTCCTCTAGGATACTCTCCCCAAGACCCTCCCGATACAACCTCATCAACGACGTGGCGCCCAACCGCTTATTCTCCTTCATCATCTGCCTCTTCACGCGGAACGGCTCATGCCGCTTCCGACTCATCGTCTCGTCCGCCAGTTCCTTCAGCGGGATCCCCGTCTTCATGAGGTCCCGGTACTGGTACGTCGAGTCGTAGACGCGGAAGGTCCCGTGGAAGGGGTTTCGCTGGAGCGCAGACTCGTGGTTATGCCGGGACGGGAGGATCTCGCATCTCAGGAACTCTGGTTTGGCTCTTGCATATGCTTTTTGGGCTCTTGATGGTGGCGGTGACTCGAACTGAGCGTCGTGGTTATGGGTATGGGCAGGGTCGGTGTTGGGGAGGCGGATGGTTAGCGGGGAGGAGGAGAGGGCTTGTTTTGCGGCGTCGGGGGAGTCGAAGATGGCGAGGATGGGGCGTGTGGGTGCTTTCGAGGTGTTGGTCGTGTCGTACTTATTTTATTCCTTTGTCAGAATTGAGGAGCGAGTTGGAGGGGGAGAAGGCGACGTACCTTTAGGTTTCGGAATGTGACGACTTCGCCGAACTTTTGTAGAGCGCTGAGGATGAGTTTGCTTTCGGCGAGGGAAATGGGGTTAGGGTTTGCGACGATGTGGATTGACTGCGAGGCGAGGCGCCCGGCAGGAGAGGGCATTGTGTTTGGGAAGTTGATTCTGCTGTATGCATTGATTTGTCGCGGATAGAAGTGGTGATTGATGGTGAGGCCGATGATGCTGTCTCGGCGTGTTGTCGCTCCGATAGCCGATCTACCTACCGAGTATCAAACCTGCAGCCTTTCACTATTCATCTGGCTAGAATATGATGCTACTGGGATATTTTGTATGAGTTTCATGCGGTCTATTCATGAATGCATGCATTGAGGTCATAACTATATACTGGGGAAAAAAAATATGGTATTTTACTTTAAGCATAAGACATCAATCATCATCCACCAACAGACCAAGCAGTTGTTTCCCGCCTACAGTTCTGCGGTACCACCCGGACCACCGGAATCTATCCGTGCGTTTAGAAGATGGGAGCGTAGAAGCCGTACTAAAAGAGAAACGAGTTAGTGATTTGAAATGGCATAAAGACGGGTAGGTTGAACTTACAGCAAGAGGGTCGTTGAATCTGAGGTCCCGGTTCAGGGAGCTGATGGCCTCAATCTCGCTGGCATCCAGATCCCAGCCGGTGACTTCGAGGTTCTGAGCCAGACGGGTGGGGTCGTTGCTCTTGGGGATGACGGCAATGTTGCGTTGCGTAGCCCAGCGCAGCAGGACCTGAGCGGGAGTCTTGCCGTGCTTCTGAGAGATACCCTTGATAAGGTCGTGGTCGAACAGCTTGGGAGTGTCATGAGCATGCTTCAGGTCCAGCTCGACGAAGCTCAGGGGACCGAACGAGGAGTACGCAGTCACGGCAATGCCCTCCTTCTGGGCATAGGTGACAAGGCGCTCCTGGGTGAGGTAAGGGTGGTGTTCGATCTGGAGGGTGGCAGGGCGGATACGAGCGTAGCGCAGCAGATCCATCAGCAACTGAGCGCTGAAGTTGCTGACACCGATGCTGCGGGCGAGCTTCTCGTCGACCAGCGACTCCATAGCGGTCCAGGTCTCCTGAATGGAGGCATTGCTGAACTCCAGCTTGTCGTTCTCGGACAGCCACCCGGGAGGGTACCGGACGGCAGGATCGACATACTTGAGGGCAATGGGGAAGTGGACAATGTACAAGTCGAAGTAGTCAATGCCCCAGTCGGCCAGCTGCTTGCGGCAGATGGGCGCGACGCGCTCACCGTCGTGGAAGCTGTTCCAGAGCTTGGACACAATGAAGAGCTCTTCACGCTTCACAATGCCTTCCTGAATGGCACGGGCAACACCCTTGCCAGCCTCGACCTCGTTGCCGTAATCTGCGACGGTCAGGAATCTGTCGGTCTGTCTTTTCGGTGGAGATCGAGAACATGAGGTTTACTCACCGCAGGCGCCGTCGAAGAGACGGTAGCCAGCCTTGATGGCATGGTAGATCTGGTCGGCGCAAGTCTCATTGTTGACCTTCCAGAGGCCGAAGCCCACGAGGGGCATCTCATAACCGCTGTTGAGCTTGACGGATGGGGTAGTCATTGTGAATATCTTGATTCCAACAGAATCGAATCTAATTTGACGTTGAGACGGATAAGAAAACTCGTAAAAGAAGCTCTTACAGGCAATCGATTGCAGGAAGACGCAGGACTTACAGGAAAGAAGAGCGGTAGCTGGCGGATATTATTCTTCTCAAGTAGTAGGAGGGGGAGGGGCAGCAGATAAAAGGCACGCGCGCATCATGGTCAAAAATCATCCCCAAATTTATCTGGCCTGGGCTACTGGCTGCTCCATACCAACCCCATCTGGGATAAAACTCGGCAGGGGTATATTGCGCTGGGAAAGCCAATGAGCCGTCGACTAAGCCGGACGTTGAGGCTAAAGTGCGTTGGTAAGTGGGATGGTTAACACCGGCTAAATGACGTGTTTCTGCCGCCGGCTGAATTCCACCGACGAAAAAAAGATATCTCCAGCAGTTAGAGAGAGGGACCAAGTTACCACGGATCCCGACGGAGCGATCCCGTCGGAGCGAAATTGCCTAACGGAGTAGATAGTTCCGAAATCTTCGCTATGAACTATCCATAATCTATCAGCGGTTCGTTGAGTTGAGTCCAGAAAATCCACCTGTAGAATTCCGGCAAAAAGTGACGGCCGATATCGAAGGACTTCCCCACTATATCCATCGACACACTGAAAGGACCGATATCAGGCGCGGAAGCAGAAGGACACGGTGCCATTAATATTACTAGAAAGATTATGATACATCGAAGGACTTTGAGAATAATAAGAGAGAGAATGAGAAAACATATTAAGTACTCCGGAAAGTGAACACCAACCCCTGGAGGAAACGACCCAAGCGCAACAGCAATGCTGCGCTAAGATCTCAATATAAAAGACACCGAAGTAGAGGAAGAGATGAAAGAGGGAAGAAACGAAAATGGTATCTGAACACATTTTTGGCAATACAATTACCATTAAGAATAGAAAGAGTTTCCAATGGATATAGTCCTTCAGTGGACCGCCTCAGCTGCATTGGTATCTGTATAGGCGGCACTGGCATGATCGGGTCCTGCCCCATTCATGCCAGGATCGTCAGGCATGCTGCCCACGATCTTGTCCATCAGGTCATCCGGTCCCATCAAGCCCTCGAAACCGTTTGGGTGCGACTCGCGGGATGCCGGCGTCTGATGGTCGTGGTGATGGTACGGAAGGTGCGTGTAGTTGTTGGAGCCAACGTCGCTTGGAATGCTCGTCGAAGGAATCGGAGGGCCCCATGCGCTCTGGCTATGTCCGATTTCGTCCATTGACTGCGACCCAGAACCAAAGATATTGTTCAAAACATTGCTACTGTCGTGGACGCTAACTCCGTGCTCCTGAGAGGGCACGTAGTGGTTGTCATGGCTCAAGGTGTACCCAGCAAGATTATGGTGCGACAGGGACATGTCATGGACATTGAGCATCACAGGTCCGCCGCTGGAGACATTGAGACTTGATGGCTGACTGTTCTCCTGCGGCGGCATGCCTGAGAAGGAATCCAGGATGGAAGTTACAGCAGTTCTATCCTGTAGTCCATCTTCGGGTTTGGTGACTGAGTTCAAGAAGTCAAAGGAGCCTGTCGGATGATACATATTGGACATGTTCTCATGCGGTGGCGGGTACAAAGGCCAATGCGGTTGAGAACTTCCGGTGTGGTGCAACATGTCGTGAGCTTGATGCGCGTGATACATGTTCGGGGGCTGTGGTTTTAGTAAAATCGAATCGAGAGACAACGGGGGCAGGTCAACCCCCGTGGCCGGCTTGGGACTATTCATTATCGTTCGGTCGGGTGGAGGAATCAGCTTCCTCCAGGTTGTCAACCCAACCTCCTCGTCAGGTCGAGTCTGCCGGAACTTCCATAGTAAGATTGCCATCCTCTTGCTGCCGTCGCTGAGATGCCCAGAGCCCTGATGAGAGACTCGCCGCGAGTTTTGAGGGATCGCTCGAATTTCTTGGACCGCGGACAGAGAGAGGAAGAACTTTCTGATATTCTCATCCGCATTCTGGTGCCGTCCTGATTTTTCGGCCATTTGCTTGTCCTGCGTGAGTTCTGTGAATAGCTTCGCCCACCACGACGACTCAAATGGGGGTTTCACTTTGGTGGACACCGGTCTGGCAAGCTTGTGATCGGCCTTCGACGACCGATGGCCTTCATAGATGTATGTGCTACATGTCCAATTGTCCATCTGACTGAGTATCGTGGCATCAGTCATGCCAGGAGGTGCAAAGTCTATATCCAACTGAATGCCCAGCTTGGAACCTGGCGGGGGGAAATCATTCATGAGCTTCAGGCTTGCTTCGAGCAGAATGATCTCGCAGTCCAAGGGGCCGTCCAGCTCCTCCATCACGGAGTTCAGATGAGGGAAAGTAGTTCGCCAGTCCCTGACATTCTCCAGGGGCGTAGGGGGAGCGACAGGGTGGTATTGGTCTCCTTGTAGGCATGTGTACACATGGAAGGCTTTGTCGGCCTGACTCGCCTGCTGAGGCGCACTCACCCACATGTCAAAATTGAAGCCATGGATCGCATCGGTACTCCGTTCATGCAAGTTCGAGCCCAGTGTGAAATGGGGCGGAGGAAGCTCCCCAACGTAAGGCTGCACTGGCCTCAGATGATCATGGTAAGCCGCGTGCATGTGCCCACCATAGTGACTGGGCAGAGGATGGTCCAGCGAAGTTCTCCATTTGGGACCAACTGACTGATGTTGATTGCTTGAACGGTCCGCCGGTTGCTCTCGAACGAGTCTCTCCCCTGAATATTCTCATGTTAATGTAAGTCGTCGAATGGTAGAATGAGGATTCACTTGGAGCAAGTGGCCTTACAATCGGGATCACCCTTGAGAAAGGAGTCGAGAACCTGCAAGTGACTTGAAACTTGCTTTCTTGTCCTCTTCTTGCCGGTCATCTTGTAGATATACTCTGCAATGAGTTCGTTTCGGCCATACGACTTTCCTCGTTCAGACCACTTCCTTCTACCCATCGGCGGGTTTGCCTCCAGCGCTAAACAGTGTTACCACATACAGTACCAAAAATCGATGTCAATAGCAGACTGTCAGTTACCTTGCTGGAAAGCGTCCTCGAGCTCATCAGACCAGACCGGTTCCCCATCCTTGCCAGTGTCCCGCCGTGGTCGTGCCCGATACTCCAAATACTTTTGAGATTTGAGGTAGCTTCTTCCCCTACGAGCGCCAGAATGGTTCGGACCGAGTGATTGGACACGTCGAAGCTTTTTCGCTTGGACTCGAGCGTTTAGGATGTGGTGAGGATGCAGACTGGTAGCCGTGGGCATGGGATGAGGGTGCACAGGTGCATGGGAATATTTATACGCTAGATGCTGTAGATGGTCATCACGACCAGTCACACCACCGTGAAGGATAGCGTCTGAGTACGACTGTACATTGCCCGAGGTGTTCTGGAGAGCTCGATCCGTATGATGTCCGATGTTCTCCAGACTTGACTGATGCTGAGGCGCAATACACTCGGGCTGCCAGTCAGTAGCCATCGGGGGTGGACACCAACAAAGGGCTCTTGGGAAAGAATGACAGATTCCAAAGAGAAGGGTGTGATGAGGCCCGCGAAATGCTTACTGCCTGGCTAAGAACGCAGCAGTCACCAAGAGCGATCAAGAACGCAGATGATGGGAAGAGAATGTAAGAACCTGGGAAAGAGAATGTGGGTGCGAACAACAAGATGTTTATAGGGAAGCATCTTCCCTTGACGCCGGGAGGGTTATCAAAGCCCTAGTATCTACATTGCTCGACCGTGCTGCTTGTTTGGTAGTAGCCCTTCGAGCGCACCCTCGGTCGTTCAAGGCGGCCTTTTGCCCTGTGCTTCACGCGTCCAAACAAGGTGACGAGGAGAATAGGGCAGCGGCCGCCTTGCTGCAACAAATCAGGAGTGAGGAAGAAGCATGAGTTGGAGGGGAAAAATAAGGGGATGCAAGGGGCGCTCACAGAGGGCACGATCCAGTGAGCACCTGCTCGGGGATTTTGATGCTGCGCACATTCAAAACCGGCGATCGCTGTTCAAGCAGGTACGAATGAGCCAGGTCCAGTTGAGAGGTGGCAAAGACTCAAGAATGCAAGACGTTGGACAACATAACTGAGGAATGTCGAAGCTCTTTACTAAAAGGACATGAGGAATGTAGGTCAGAACGCAGGGCAGACAGCTCTTCTCCAATTCCGCCGTACAGGTATTCCCAGGATAGAAGCTAAGCGTATATACAAGACGGAAATATCCAGGGTGGACGTGACTCGCGATCTCCAAGTAAGTGGGATTGAAATAGGCTCAACTAAGATGCACGAGTTGCTTGATGCGCTCTGCAGAACGCGTATGTACGTACTGACGGCTACAGGAACGTGTCGGCCGGGCCTGCTTGCTTCCGTGCCTCGACTTCCGCTCAAGCAAGGGATGATATATCAAAAAGTAGTCGTCGTTGCAGTAATGGTCCCTATACACAGGGAGAAGGGCTTTTAGGTCTCCTCGTCCTCCTGTGCCCCTACAGTGAACTTTTTGCGCCCGGTTCCTGTGAGCTTTTGCAGTTTGACCCTGTCCAGCTGCTCCCCTACTTTCTTCTCGATTTGCTCGATCTCTTGTTCTGGATCGATGGCCTCCGCGTTTGCGAATTCCAATACCAATCTTCTACCCAGGAGATGCGTATTCTTGAGCGCGTCCATGGCATTTTCCGCTTCGCGAGCGCTTACGAAATCGGCAAAACCGAAACCACGAGCAGACCGGTCAAATTTCTGAGGAACCCGCACAGAGCGTAGCTGCCCATAGGCTCCAAAGAGCGATCTGACATCTTTCTTGGTTGCTTGGAATGGTAAGTTCTTGATGATGATTTTCGTGCGACGCGCCGCAATTTTCTTTGCTGTATCCTCGCGTCTTCTCTCCTCGGCGGCATCCATGGCCTTGTTAGATGCCCTTACTACCAACTCATGTTGATCGAGCTTGTAGCCATTCATTGCAGCAAGAGCAGCCTGCGCCTGAGCTTTCGTCTTGAAGTCGACAAAGCCAAAGCCCATGCTAAGTGTCTGCCCAGGTCGTTTAGGATCAGGCTTGGTTTTGATCCTGGCCGAAACGAAGCCGTCCAATGGCTTGAACAGCTCCGTGAACTTTTCATTAGTCGTAGAGAAGTTAAGATTCTTTACGAAGAGGGTCGATGTGACCACAGGTCCGTCTGCATCGTCAGCTGCGAAAGTGTCGGCTGTCGAGAAACCTTGCGACACAGCCTTGGTCTCGGGCACAGAAGTCTGCGACGCACTTGTCGCATCGAAGAGATTCGCAGGGGCCTTTTCTAAAAAGAGGATAGAGTCTCCCACTTTTCGGTATGCAAGGCCTTTAAAAGCTTTCTGCGCTTCGTCTGGTCTAGCGAATTCAACAATCGCTATTGTACCACTTGGGGGCATTAGTAGTCTTGTGATCTGGCCATATGGCTCAAATAACTTTCTCAAATCGTCAACCTTGACGCCATACGAGAAGTTTTTTACTAAAATGGCAGTATTGCCTCGCTCCCGCTGCTTGAAGGCGTCGAGATTGACACCGTTCGCTGTGAAGTAGGCTTTGGTTTCCTGAATGACATGCGTCTCAGCATGCGCTTGCTTCACGGCGGCATCTGCCGAGGTGGGATCTAGAAGGTCAGCTTTGGAGACACCAAGTCGCTCGGCCACGGAGGACATGACTGCATCAGTCTATAAAAATTGTGTTAGCCGGCTCATAGATATAGCGACTACTCCAATCTAAACTCACATTCATGTATAATGAATTCCAGCTGAATGTGGACGAAGAAGCCTCCAGCTTTCGCTTGATCTGCTTTTGTTTCTTGAGGGGCAGTTTCGACAGTTCAAGTTCGTCGATTTTGTAAGTCTTCTTCGCAGCAGCCGGCAAGATGTGCATTAAGCGGCCTTGAAAGTGCTTTCCATCCAACTCTTTATAGGCCTGGACGGCCGCATCAGGCTCGATGTACTGAACGTAGGCGAATCCCTTGCTGGTGGTAGACCGAGTGTCAAAGGCAACGTGAATCTGCAACCATTAGCGAGAGTTCGTTACGGGTGCTCTTTTGTGTGTCAAAGAAGTATAATGTGTTTAGTCGAGGTTGCTCTTCAGATATCCAAGAAGCATCTACTAAAATCTCTTGACCTGTTCGCATCATGTGCTTTTGCATCAGATGTCCCTATCAGGAAGATCATCATTCGAGCAACTCTCTAAACGGAGAGGGCGGTGGAGGGCAGTGAGAAACGAAAGGGATAATACGAACCTCTTCAACTTTGCCAAACTTGGAAAATACGGGCTCCAGATCTGATTCACTGGCATCGTAGGGTAGATTTCGAACAAATAACCGCGAGGAGAGACGTATATTTTCAATATTTATGTCAACCTCTTCTTCCTCCGTCGATGACTCGACAACAGTGTTGCCATCATAGGAGTGTTGAACGTCGGCTTTCGAGACAGTCGCTGGCTGCGGCGACGGATCGGGTTTTTGCTGGGCTGTAGAGTCGAACTCAGCCTGCTCGTCCTCGTCAAGGAGACCAAGAAGACGACTCGTCTTCGAACGAAGCCAATCGGCATCCGACACGGGCTCTGGCTCGTCTTGCGTGTGGGAAATAGCTTCACCCTCATCATCTGCATTTGTTCTCTCATGCTCTTCCTCAGTCTTGTCCAAGACCATTTGTTCTGGTTCTCGACCATGGGCCACCTTTGGTATATCATCCACTCTCGCTCTCTTCCGCTGCTTGTGAGAATGCTCCTCGACTTGTTCAGTCGTGTCATCAGGCTGGTCTTCCCGATGGTCACTTGTCGCTGTTTGGTTTTGAACTGTGTTGAGAAAGTCTTCACCATTGGCCCACGTCTTAGTTTTCGAGGGTCGCTCTATTACGGAAAGATACTCTTGCAATTGGGAATCCTTCTGGGTGCTATCCCCGTCCCGTTTACGTTTGAGTGTGTCTCCTGCGGCTGGGTCATTTGGAGCTGATTGTTTCTTGTGATTTTCTGCCTTTTTGACAGGCTCAGAGTCAATCTACAATAGTTCTGGTCAGTCTCAAGACCAACTTTGCAGGAAGTCAGCGGGCGAAGACGAAAATGACAAGCAGAACATCGGGCCAAAATCAGGATTGTTCGCAAGAAATGACATACCGGCTTAGCAATCTCTACTGAGATCTTGGACATCTTGACATATGTTTTATTGAAGTAAGAAGCCGCTTGTTGGGCTGCCTCAGGGCTTTTGAAGCCGACGAAGCCAATCCTGCGCTTGGGAAGTACATGAGCGTCTGTGATCTGGAAGCGGCTTGAAAAATGCTTCCTCAGTTGATCATTTGTAAATGTCGGCGGAAGGCCAGACACGAACACTCTTGTGTTCTCCATGATTGTGTCTCGTGGGTGTAGAGTTATCCGCAGATGATCAAGAGGGAGCCCCGAAAAAAAATTTTGGTTGATGCTTCCTTATAGTGCTAAGGCGGTGAGGAAGTTGTGGGCATGGCCCGTGCACATCCATCAACGCGAGGGTTGTCGCATCAATATTTGGACATCTAATGATGACGATGTTTATGTTCTGAAGATATACTCTCAATTCACATTTCATCTTTCGGACCTTAAGATAATTTTTCTTCTCAATCTATATTTATTGTCTCTATCTGCACCTCTTAGTCGCCCTATCTCTACTAGAAGCATGGCCACCGAAAAGGAGAAGCTGGAGCGTAAGTGTCGCGGTGCTGTCAATCATTACGAGCGCAACTGAGAAAGTCTTCCACAGCTCAGATCAAGTCCGTCGATATGGTAAGGGAGCAATTATTTCAGTCACGGAGCAGGTACTCACTTCGTTCGATAGACGGAGGAGATGCAGCAAGAGGCTGTTGAAGTTGGTATGATCTCTCTTAGCTTCCAGGAGAGTTCGGCAGCTGATATTTCTAGCCACTGAGGCGATGGAGAAATATCACATTGAGAAGGTGTGCATACGACTCGGGCTACTTGTTGTTCTTTAGGATACTTACCATTATCAGGACATTGCCCAGTACATCAAGAGAGAAGTGCGCTCTATCCGTCCGAGATGTCATGGGTCGATTGGCTGACTCGCAATTTGGCAGTTTGATTCGCGCAAGGGAGCGACATGGCATTGCGTTGTAGGAAGAAACTTTGGCAGTTTCGTTACACATGGTACGCATTGGGGTCTCATCCGCTCCGAATAGCAACTAATGTCATTCTAGAGACGAAGCACTTCATCTACTTCTACCTCGGACACTGCGCCATCCTCCTCTTCAAGACACAATAGACTCATACATTATGTTCACTTCCTACTTTTTGAATGGAGGGTCGACTTCACGAAGCTCTTTTCGGCTGAAAAATGTAACCCCGGAGTTGACCCTTCGAGAACAGTCACAGACGGAAGGGTGGGGCGCTGCTGCTGGACATAACTGACATCGGTTGCTGCTGGACAAGTCCAATGTGTCTTGATGATACAGTCCTCGGCAGCACGCTGCATGAATGACTTCGCCTGCTTACCTTGAGCGACTTTAACCGTTTGTTTTCTTGTGAAATTTTGAGATAGAAGTACAATTTTGTTTGGAAGACATGTGCAAACATGGCCTGATGGCTTGACTATCATGTTTACCGTATATCCCAGAAGAAATCGGCCGTACAATCCTAAATGACAATAGGACCTTGGTAGGATCCTGTCACACTTGCCTTGGGCAATTATTAGTATTGTGCCTGTGTTTGATGGCAGAAATGTAGCCTCTGAGGATTATTTAGACTTCGGGTCAACATATGTTCTGTCTCTCATCTGAAAACAAACGCCAAGTGCTAAGCCACGGCGCCACACGTCACCTGATTCCCGCTGCCTTGGCCCCTAGACCATCTTCCATTTAAAAGAGTCTCAGTTTGAGGCCTCATGATTTATATTTCGGCATCGTCTTATGCTAGAATCTGGAAAACTCAATAGACAATAACTCTGGGGGCTTTGTGACCTGGAAACTTCATCATGGCGATTTGCATCACATTCGGAACACATGGTAAGGTCTTCGTCCAACAACAAAACACAGCTATGTCCTCCACAATATATTGCGGGTATTCAAGCTATATAGCAATGCTTGTCCGCGATCTCACGTATATGCGTACTACCTTCGCTCACGCTGCTAAAACTGATTCACAGAATTTACCTCGATGCTCGAAGGGTACGAGAATGTCAGAGCATACTGTTACAACTGTGAGTACTGATTGAGGTCAAATGAGAGAGGTACCTGAAGCGTGAAACGGGATGTACTGATTCCAACTTGTGTAGGCCAACACTGGAACGGACACTGTATAACTCGGTGGTATGTCATGAAACCAGAATCTCATCACAGAAGAATTGCTAATGAAGTATACTTCAGGCCGTGGTTTACCATTTGCTTCATTGTATGACCTTGCGAGCCTACAGACGCCACGTAAAAGCCAGAGCTAATATCCACGACTCTAGCCCTGCATCCCTCTCTCGACACACAAGTACAAGGTGATCTTTCCCCTCAAGATGTACGTCCACAGGATTCTAAGATTTGACAGGAAGTAATATGCTACACGTGCCGATTTACTCAAGACCTGCGGTAAGGCTGCCACTTTTCCATCAAACTCGGCGCTCAAATTTCCCTTTCCCTCTCTAACAATCTACAGCGATCGACCTGATATCACGCCGGATACGAGACCTCCGCAAGGCATACCGCCAGGTCCTGCACCACCGCCACAGGCATACTATGCTGCTGGCGCTGCTGGCGGCGGTTATCCGCAGCAGGGCTACCCACCCCAGGGACCGGGGCAGGGACAACCCCAGGCACCACCGCCGCAGAACTACGGCTATAAATGATGAGCTGAGGGTCGGTGATTTGTTGTCGTTTTTTATGATGTCTATCCTGCTTCGTGAATGGAATTTGGCTCGTTGCGTTTAGTAAATATACCACAGTCGAAGAGCAATGCAAGTGTTGCTAGCATTATATGCCAACGGTAAGGTGATTAATGAAATTAATATTATCTACTTAAGACAACAAACGGGGTATAAATCGAGCATGACAAAATGAGACCTCATAGATCCCAACACAAAGGCAATAATCAGACATCACTTCGTATCTTCCGTCGTCAGAATAGTTCCACGAATGGTAGCTTCAGGCGCTTGTCTTTGCTTCCATCTTCTCTGTCGGTGTCGCAACACCAGAAGAATTATCTTCGTGCTCTCGTGATTTCTGGCCAACAAGGGCAGGCCTCTTCCCTGTGAGATCGAGGGCCATGAGTCTGACGACCCGCATGATACTTTGACGACCTTCCCAGAGAGGGAAGATGACTACGCCAAACGTAGTGCAGAAAAGCCAGATCAGACCAACTACCACCCAGCCGGTGAAGAATTTCTTGCTGAAAACGTATGAAGAGCCATACATGGGGATTGGCCACAACAGCAGAAAACAGATCACCATGCCGACGGTCAGCGTACGAGAGTAGAGAGCCGCCTTGTTGAGTTTGCGCTGTTCCTCTTCCTCCGCTCGTGTGTCGCGGACGTCAAGCTCACCAGGAATCAGTTCGATGTCGACGTGCGCGGCCGCTGCAACATCTGTATCGTCGACTTTGCGAATAGAGCGCATCGACTCGTAGTCGTAGTTTTGAGTGCCGAAAAGGTATGTCAGAACCGGCGAGAAGATGATCGGGCTGAGCAGAGCCGCGACGTTACCAGCAAGCATAGGGTAGCTATTATTTCCCAGTTAGCGAACGGGGACAAACTGCCAGAGGCCAATACAAAACTCACTTCGCCCCGGTACTTGCGACGGTGAGTACACCAAATTCCTTCTTGGCGGTCACAAGCCAGGCAATAAGAGAGACCGCAAGTCCAAGAACTGGTGAGCAGGCAGCAGCAATCCAATTTTGTTGCTTCCAGACAAGAGTCATGGCCCCGGGAAACACCGCAGAGGAGATGATGACACCCATGAGCAAGTACAGATAGCCCATACCAATTCCGGCGTAGTAGAGCCCCGTCGCAAATCCAGCCATGACGAGAGCGAATGCAATACAAGACATGTGAGAGACCCATACTAATCTCTTGCCCTTGGCGGCAGGGTTGATGTACGCTTGATAGACATCGTAAGTGACGATAGAGGAGACGGCAATCAACTGAGCTGAGAAAGCCGAAGTAACTGCCATAAATACCATAAGGGTCGTGCATACAGCTCCACTGTAACCCAGAAGCTTGACCGCAGCAAATGGCAGTACAAGGCCAGCGGTGACATCGTCGGAGTTAATTCTTTGGGCCCCCTCGAGGGCAAGCGCAGAGATTCCCATGGTGGTCGCGCACAGCCAGGGTATAGCAAACCAGCACAGACCTCCAATAACATATCCGGGGAAAGCGTGTACAGGACTTGCCGCAATGGCTGGAAGCAATCAGTATCCCCATGAGACAGTGGTTCTTTCGAGGATAGAATAGACGCACCTTTATTGTAGTATCCATTGTCAAGGAAAACGGTGCTATTTACTGTCGTCAGCAATCTGGCATGGAGCCCGAGTTATGCATGTTACGAACCCAAAGTTACCTGCAAAACATTTGTCAGACTTTATGTTTTCGTAGAGGGAGGTCTAGGGGTACACACCGACAAGATTGATCACCCAGAAAATACCCCCTTCCTTGGATCTCATTGTAAGGTAACTTCCTTGAGCGTTGCCTTCCACTGGATGAAGCTCAGAGGCTGCAACCAGTGCATCATACACCTTGCCAGGGGATCCCAGCTCCGCATTCGTTGCATAGGCGGAAAACGCGAAGATGAAAATAACAACAATAATGACCACAGTGTGCATGTAGTCAGTGATAAATGTTGCTTTGATACCACCGAAAAGCGTATAGACCACAACACCTATGGGGAGCAGGAAACAGGCTGCAGCTGTGTGAACCCCAGTCAAAGAAGTTAAAACAGCGGAACCACCAGTGACTAACATAGCAGTGACGAGAATATTGGTCATGAGGCAGAATACAATGAACACTAAATGCACTGCGGTTCCATATCGCGCGCGGAGAGCTTCCAGAAAGGTATGGGCGTTGGGCGCTCGTCTTTTGAGCTCGATAGCGAGTGTCGCAAACAATATAATCTGAACGCAGGCACCTATTCCCGGTCAATATCAATAATGCTGTCGCATTTCTCAAAGTCATGGTTTGCCCTTAGGACTAACCTGAAGCATAGAAGAAGGGCCCCGAGACACCGTACTGGTAAGCCACAGCTGAAGATTGTAGAAGGGTAGCTGCCCAAGTCCAACTACTGACAACAGCTGCGGCGACCAAACCCGATTTTACAGACCGTCCAGCGGTTGAGAACATTTCGGATGTCTGGACTTCATGCTGATATCTGTAATTCAATCCATTATTAACATAACATCGGATAAAAAAGAGGCATTGCACCAGATACCACATATAACACAATGAGAAAGGACGTGGCAAGCTCTTACCTCCTCAAAGCCCAGGTAATGAAGATCATCACCAACGAAAAAGCGAGACCCAATCCAATAATGATGCCATAGCCAAACCCTTGCGAAAGGGGGGCAACAAACTTGACCTCCTCTGAGGACATGTTTGACAACCTGTGATTGCCACTCACTGCAAAGTAAAAGAGTAGTGTACTCGACTTGTATAAAATGGCGTAGCTTGTACCGAGATTCCACGTGGATTATCAGGCTGATAATCACCAGTAGATCTGTGGAGTCTGCTGTGTATCTGGACCAGAACCCCAGAGTAGGAGGCACCTTCCATACATATAGCTGTTACTGCAGACTGCATATCAATGGAGATCCAAATAATTCTCCGAATTCGCAGACATCATGCTGATCAACATTATGCTTCATCTTCCGATAGGAAATACGAGCCGCCCGTGACTCCACGATAAGGGGATATTTTCGTAATTAGCATGCCTCAGGACCCTGGACAGCGATGTGCTATCAGTCTCATTCTGATGTAGGGCCACAGGGCCACGGGCACACGGCGCCACATGGGGTTGCTGGTGGTCCTTCTTGCTTCAGTTCCTGTTTTCGAATTAGTGGTCTGTGCAATTACGGTAGGGTGGAAGTAGGTTATCTCTAACAGCTCGAATTTGAACGTCCTCATTGGCGGACGTTGTTTTCGTAGCTCATCCTTATCAATCCAAGATAGATCGAAGCGAATGGCGATTGGTTGTGGAAGCAGTGTTTTTGATAAGGCAGCCTTCCGGCCCCGGCCTCCTTAGATATCATGATAGTGGAGTGGTTGACTGAGCAGTTATGTAACCTGCAAACAGTTAGCAACAACGTATTGACCAGAGTTGGCAATGGTATTATTCAAGACCCGCGACTACCTAATAGGGGCGAGCGCACGATGACCAGTCCAACTTCGATGGGCTTGTGTAAGTTTCCAGTGAGTCTCGACGCAGCGGAGCTGGCCAATGCCAATAGACTGGAGGAACCTAATGTTCGTTCCCTCAAGACCTTCTACAATCAGTGAAAGACCAGAGACTCAGACCATGTACCATAGTCAGAACCAGAGCGCTGAATAGAGTAATGCTTGAGTGTTGATAACAACTCCGGGCTGCTTATCTCTTATAAATCCAAAGAAGGCTGAATTATATCAGCCAGTCCGATATGGTGTAACGGCTAACATCGCCGTCTTTCACACGGCAGCTCGGGGTTCGACTCCCCGTATCGGAGCTTAATCACAACATTTTTTAATTTGATTTTTTATATCCTCCCAAATGTATCTTGGCTTATATAGCAAAAGTTTGTGGCTCCTTTCGTAAATTATCCGATATGGTGTAATGGCTAACATCGCCGTCTTTCACACGGCAGCTCGGGGTTCGATTCCCCGTATCGGAGGTCAACAAATTTTTTAATCTTTTCGTCTCAAATTCTTTTTGTTCTCGCTTCCCCTATGGCTCTGTTCATGGCCTCTGACAACAATGTTCAGTTCCTGTACAATATACTTGTTACCACTATCCTTTCTTCTCTCGTAGAGCTTGTCTTTTGGTCTGACTCATGAAGTGGCTTTGCTATCCCTTTACTGTGTGCTGAGAAATACAAAGCGGTGGACGGCTGGGTGACAACCACAGCCACAGCCACCTAGATCCCCGACATTTAGATATAGGTGGAAGAGCTGCACTGGGGATGGCTGGCTGTAGGAATGTTGTCAATCTGTGGCTTTTGACTGAGTGGCTCAGCCAACCTTAAATATTATGTACTGTTATCAACTATTATTATCATCAACTGGGCCTCTAGCTCCTGTCCCAAGGTCCCAAGAGTGTAGGTGTGGATTTGGAGAGCAGCTCAGTTGCAGCTTGTCACTGCACATGATTGTTCTACGCGAGTACTCAATCGCACGAAGCGACCGGGACTTACTATTGTCCTGAAGAGAGAAAAATTTTGGATTCCCGTGTCCACAACGAAGAATTGTGCAGGCCTTCTCCGGCCCCCCTGTGTCAGGATGTTTAATTAATAATAACGAGCCGACTGAACTGCCACCATCTGGGGATCAGTCGGGCACAGGACGCACGGCGAGGACCGAAAATGCGTACTTCAATGATGACATGCAGAACAAAAGAAGATGAATCCTAGCGTAATCGATCTTGAAGCAGATCTAGGCCTTGAGTTGATGATAGTAACATCAATTTGCGAATCGCGAAGATTGTGGGAGATGAAAGTTGCTATGGGCAAGACCACAGTCTCCCATGATTCGCATCTGCGGTGGGGGGATATTAATAGTAAAATCGGCATACTCCTACAGCTTTCCCTTTTTCTGCGCGGAATTGGAAGTGATCATCATCCCTTAATACTCAACGGAACATACGGATAACGGGGCGTTGATACAGCCTGTCTATGGGTAGTGCTGTGTAGTATCATCCATGGCAGATTTTCGAATCATTCTTGCAAAACCAATCTGCCAAGTAACATAGCATGACTACCTAGACTCACTACAATTATTGTACACAGAAATGCCTTCTGAACCACGGATGGGCTTAATTTTTCAAGCCGGTTTAAGCCACAAAAATCTCGCCGAGAGTTCCAAGCCCGTCGTAAGCAGAGGCTAGAATAATAATGGAGCTGTCACTGTCGTTCTACGAGACTACAACAGGCAGAATTTGGATGAGTCGGGCCCACTAGAATCGACTATGTACTAATTTTCAGTTGTAAGCAATTTTTGTTTAATTGTTCTGGTACAGCTAGTGGATTGTGCTCCATATCTCCAGGCACAGAAGACTTGTCATTCGAGGCTGCGATGGAAAATTTGGTCAATAGCTACGTACAGACCTCTTGGCGGTCGCTGGTCGCGAAAGATTAAGAGCGCTCATATTACTCCATATTGTCAACGGCTCAACATTTAATTTGGACGATAAATAAGGCATCACTCATAGACTCATAACAGCAATGGAGACCTTTGACTATTCTGCCTATCCATGAATATACATGAATGACAATAGAATGCTTGAAGCATCTAGGTAGTTGATACACTAAATATTATTAACCGTGGCTCCCTGCTCAATTTTATGCGAGTGCTAATGTCTAGACCCGTGAACTATCTGAACTATCTGCTGAACCCTGGATACCAAGTCAAGCAATCTCCAACCAGATCGCATTAATATTATTATTGTCATTGCTCACTCCATTTCAAACCAACTCAAAAAATCATTGTAAAATAATAATCTTTTTTCAGCATTCTTCCGTACCACAGTCTGCCAAAACCCACGAATCCACAGGACCATCCGCAAAGTGAGGTACATACTAGTTGCCGGAAGGCTATGTACTGTTAACGTTCAGGCCACACCTTTCTCTTTTCATCTTATTCCACTCTCTGTACAACTTTCATCGTTTATTGTTTTTTTTTTTATCACAAAGCTTCATATGCCTTGATCTTCAGCCAGCCAATTGAAATTGTCTTTCGTTGATCCTTTCTTTCGTTTCTGCATCCAATACTCCATCCATTCCACGCCCTTTCTCCTTTGCGCGATTTTGTGGCTAGAGGCCAGCCGCACACTCGTGATTCCCTACATGTGCTCAGCCTTAGACTGGTCTCGAAGTGATTGATGATCGGAGCGACTGTTCCAGTCCCCGCCTGATAGGCGACGTTTCACGCGGCTTGGCAACAACACTCTTCTTCTGGGGAGAGAAAACAAGGCCCATCTTCGTATTCTTCACCACCCAGTCCTTTCGGTCACTCTGTCGACCTGTCTCTCGCTCCCCTTCGTCTAGATCGACGTTCGACAAAAGGCTTGCTGAGGCTTGCCTGTCTGTATAGACAAACGCTCGGTACTTTCCATGACCAAAACTCCGAACGTGACCTCCTGATTCTGCCAACGTCTTGTCGAACAGTCAGTCAGGTCAACAAACCGGCAAGGCCACCACGTCGTCTCTCTATCCTCTCCCTTGACCCTCTTTATTCGTACCATCAGCAGTCTCGGACAGCATCCACGCCGCCGCTAGGTGGTTGAACCGTCATATTGTATCCTGCGACCGAAACTCCGGCGGACTCGAGCTCCGTCACGGAGCACTTCGTCAAAATTTACGCACACAATTCGCGAGCCTCTCTTTTCGGGGGGTCATTCGATCCCTCGTTTAGAAGAGGTCCTGGAGGCTTCCGTTCACGAGAGGGCTACACGAATGTAACGCCCAAACCGCCCAGGCGCAAAATGTATATTCCAAATTCGATGTGGACATGGTCCTTTGTCATCGTCACTTTCATCCAGACTGCCATAACGCTCGCGCTAGAATGGTATGTGGGCCTGAATGTCTATAAATATTTAATACGCTGTTAATGCTAACGCATGGTGTTTTAGTTACATTTTCGCCAACTACCAGAGCCAGCTTACAAAGAAAGCCGAGGCTGTCACCGCATCAAAAACGATCCCTATTTTCTTAGCGCTCTACAGCTTCGGATTTCTATATGAGCTGGTGCTTGTATACGATGCCTTGCGGATGAAAAACACGATTCAGGTCATTGGTTTATGTCTTTGCAACATTGGACTCTTGATCTATGGGGCAGTGCAGGTTCAGCAGGTGAAGGAGGCTGTCTCCATTCTGACAGACAACACGGCTATCAATGAGAACGTATGGGGAGAAACCGAGCCTTTTCTGGTCATCATTCCATGCGTTGTGGCAATGGGTACGGTTCTTATGATGATGGTTGCATGGAAACTTTACGATGAATTTGCATGGTCCATCTACAAGCATATCAGTGCTGATCTGCGAATGAAGCGTCGCTTTCTCACATACCAGGTTTGTGACTCCTACTCACCGAATGAAGATCAAGAAAAAACATGAGGATTTACCAATGGCCAGATCTATGTCGCACTTCTCAAATTTGATTTTTTCTTCTTCCTCGGGTTCACGGTGCAGTTCGTCGTTATCGTCACCGATAAAGCCGACATTGAGTTCTCTCTGACCCTAGCTGCTATACCTGTGACGATCTTGATTCTGGTTTGCGCGGCAATATTTGTTCGACGTGAGAGCTCAGTGGGAATGATCATCATCATCGTATGTTTCCTGCTTCCGCAACCTATGTTACTGTTTCTGACCATAAGTCTAGCTTCTTTACTTTGCAGCTATGGCCTATTTCCTATTCAAGCTTGTGCGCATGTACCAACCACAGACTTACAAGGAGTACCTGCCAGCCCGGCGTTCACTCACGTTCTTTGCTGTCATCACGATTGTTCTCATCATCATGACTATCATCAACGCTTGCATGTGCATGCACAATTTCCACAAGGGACTGAAGCCCCATATCAACAAGAGAAAGTCGAGCAAGGAGGCGGAGAAGACCACCGAGCTGTCCTCGAATGTGGCTGGCGCGATACCCAATCGAATGATGATTGATTGAGCCTTGCTGTTTTGCTCCTCACGACCGATTTCAATAAATTGAAAAAGAAACGGAGGACTGAAAGAAACGAAAGCGCAATCACGCGGCTTTTCGCTTCTTCATTCCGTGTATTAGAACGGACACCGCGAGTACGCGGTAGTACTCGATCAATACCTCGCTTGCGGGCTTTTGGGTACTGACAATGGGGCATGTTTTTGGAACCTTCGATATGATACCTTACCTGCGTTTATTAGGCTGCCCGACGATTTTTTCGACCTCCTGAAGTTTGGTTGAGCGATTTTCATTCAGTCGTATTCAGTCACTTCCCGTTCCGTCCCTTACTCTGCTTCCTATTCCTTGATGGCACAACGGCGTTCATTTGATGACTGTTTCTATTCCCCTTCAGGTTCTGGTATATCACGAATGTGCATCTACTCTGGCGTGTATTGTAACTATTTTAAACTCAAATATAACTTAATCATCATATATCAAATATTCTGAAGTGTTAGACAGAATGGATCCTAGCTAGTTTTGGTAGACTCTCAGCTCTGGCTCGCCATGAGTGATGATCAGAGCGCAACTGCAGGTTGGCTTCATTCGAATGGTATGCGACAGCTCTTCGTAAAACAATGAGAAATACACATTACTACTAAATTCTACGGAGTACCTAGCCACCTCTCATTCATTGATGTTGATTGCCAAAGTCTGAGCTTTATCAGTTCAGGGGTCAGAAAGTGGAGGGCGGATATGATTGGGTCACTTGAAGCTGGGGTAAGTCTTTTAAGGTAAAGGCATGTAACCATACGTTACCATACCCGACTGGCTGGAAATCGTGATCGTGGCCTCTTTCTGGCAACTCGCGACCTCACCTCACATATCCTCTGCCAGCTAATTCATCTCCCAATTCATCAGTTTTTCTTCTTTCGCTGTCACCACAAAATTTTTTACTCCTTCTATTAGTCCTTGTTTTATTCGCAGTCAAATTTTTTCGTCGCCTTCATTGATTTCCTCTTCTCCCCTTTCCTCATTCAATTGCTCAAGATGGTGAGTACCTCTTTCGATCGTCGTCCCTTGAGAAGTAGCGCTATGTGCTTTGCGGACGGAAGCTCCAATTGCTCATTTCAAACCGGCACTCTACATTGAATCGAATGTTGACCATAGTCGTGCAACTGTTCCAGGCCTCTGCTCGTGCTGCTTCTCCCTTGACCTCTGGTGCTGAGTCCGGCCCTGACACCAAGTCTTCTGGCGCCGGTGCTGGGGCTTCCGCCACTGGCTCCGTGAACCGTCCTTCTTCTCCTACTCCTCCCGGTGGTCCCAGAGCTGCTTTGCGTCGCCGCGCGGCCGCAGACCACAAGGAATCTCTCCGCAATGCTAGGCCCAGCTCTACCCGTGCCGCCGGTGCGGGTGGTTCCTCCGGCACTATGCTCAAGCTCTACACCGACGAGAGCCCTGGTCTGAGGGTCGATCCTGTTGTCGTTCTGGTGCTCAGCTTGGGCTTCATTTTCTCCGTTGTCGGTCTTCACGGTATGTGTGGTGTGCGTCCCGAAAGCTCAGCCAATGCTCTAATACTTGTTGCTATTGCAGTCATCGCCAAGATCACCCGCAAGTTCTCCTCGTGAGCTGCTGAAAAGCGTCGTTTCGTCTATTCCTCGCGATCATGGTTTCGTTGGTCAAATCCGTACATAAATGGAGTCGCCAGATGAGACAGTGGTTAACATCACCGTCCTCTTCCTGTCAGACGTTAAGAACATTGAGAACTTGGAAGCGAGGATGATAGGCGTGGTGGTATATTCAGTTCCTTCGATGTTTTCCCTTCAATCATATACCCCTTGGTGTCACTTTTCCCTGTACCGGTGCATATCGAAGATTCAAGAGCGGCATGACCTGAAAACAGCATGCCTCCTCGCACAAGCCAGTTGAGAGTGCTTGAGTTCAAACCTATCTGCAGCATAGGTTAATGCCACTATGATATTGCCGTTGCAATCCACAATGACCTCATAAGCTTTTTGAGGGAGAGCTCAGAGAAAATGAATGGAAACATTTGTACATTATTTAATGCTTTTAAGCTGGTGGTGCTTGCATGCCAGTCAATTATAATGGTCCTGCTAAGCACCTTTTCCTATCATTATGGCGTGGACTAGTCGACAATAGCGCCACATCGGCGTAGCATACAACAGACCGGAGACGCTACCGGGGTTCTCGCCGCCAATTTACCTTGAGTCCCGATTGACCAGAACAACCATAAAAAATGTGAATTTGAAAAAGCTGACCATTCCTCAACGATGCAGTACCTCGTACAGCTGGTTATTAAGACAAGAATAAGCGAGCAAAAATAGCTAAAAAAAAGATAATGAGCTCCGATACGGGGAGTCGAACCCCGAGCTGCCGTGTGAAAGACGGCGATGTTAGCCGTTACACCATATCGGATGATGTTGACATTCTTGTTCAGGGCAATTAAAATTTATGAGTCGGTTTATGCTCCTGAGAGCATCAGTTATTGCTCGCTGCATGCTCTTTTCGACGGATATCAGCATGAAATTTATCACATGAGAAAAAGCAAATATACACAACCAATAGAGCATACACATTTCACATCAACCTTTCCCTCCCTTGCTCGAACCTAGGTAAGTCTCCCACTTCGATAATGGAGCCGAGTAGTAATCCAACCCTGTCTACCCCACCAGGCAGGCGGTGAGTCACCAAATCCCACCACCATAAAAACCACCACAATAAATTTACCTCTGTCTTCCCTCTCTTCTTTTCCCCCTCAAGCGCCATCCCAACCAATGCTGCGTTTCTTTGCTACACACGACGAGGCGCAAGCCCCGTCCCCTCGCGTGATCCCAGCATCACCGAGGGCGCCGCAAATGAGAAATTCGGAGGAATCTTCACCTTACCCAGTAACCCGCCCTCTGTGCCTCGCGGTCCAGGGGGCCGGTACTGCCCGTGAGGGCCTGGTGTGAAGCACCTGCAATCGGCATCAGAAACATCGGGGCCGGATCCTACTCTGTAGGGTTCGGGTTTCCCCATGGGAGAGTCGTTGCGAAGATTGTGTGTTATGACACTTTAGTGCAATACGCAGCATGCGCCGTCCTTTCCGGCCAGTAATGGTTGGTTTGGAGGGCGTATCATTCGATTCCGATTATTCTGGTTGGGGTGGCGCTTCATCTTTTTTCCTTTCAGGTCAGTTTGTACTTATTTATTCCCTCCCTGTTCGTGTGGTCTGGTGGTTTGGGACTGGAAAGGACTTGTTTTGCCCCTGCTAATGAGATGGGGGCTGGCCTTCTGGGCTTGATAGGGTTGCTGTCGTGTCATGTACGGGTAGGCGTAATCTGGACGCTGTTGGTACCCTTAGAGCTTGTGCGAGTAGCATGGATGGAAATGTGGCCTAGTGCTGTATTATGTGGTCTACTGCGGAATGAGAATGGATTCTGGTCACTCCAAATTGTACACGACTTCGTAGTCACTGAACTGAAAATAGTCGTGCACAGGTAGCCCTGTGGCTACTCGATGGTCATAGTAGCTGGACTTCTCAAAAGATCCGCGGGTCCTTTAATACATACTTGAATTCTGGTTCGCCGACCCTCGAGGTGAATTATCGGTGAATTATCGATTGTGATTTCCGTAGTTGTCCTATCCGGCTAATGTTCATGGGATATTTTGAATACCAGGAAAAATAGAAAGAAATGTTCGTTCCCGCCGTTATGCTCCCTCTTCATGTCAGAGTAACACCCCCTTCGCCTTTCACACCTCATTCGCTTGAACCTCTTACTCCTCGTCTCCGATCTATTCGAGGTGAAAGTTAGCATCAAGGTATCTGAATCGACGGGTAAGAAAGATCATACCTTAGGAGCGAGATAGAATCTCAGGTGGCCGCTTCCCAGCCCGTACTCAACAAGTAGAGGCACCTCCTGTGATAGGCAGAGAGTAACCTGGCTCGACAGCGATGTAGCCTTGCAGAAGTTGACGAGGTACTTAAGGGAAAAGGTGAGAGCAACAGGCTCGCTAAGGGCAATCGAAACGTTCTGCTCCGGCTTGTCGACACTGGTGTGTTGACGGATGGTAACCGAGCCACTGCCGATGTCGCCCTGGCATGAGAACTTGACACCTTCCTTTGTAGCCTCAATGACGACTATCACAAGTTAGTGAGAAAATTGCCAATGACAGCATCCCATAACGCACCAGACTCAGAAAGCGCATTCAAATCTCTGCAGATCCGCTGGAATTCTGCCGACGGCATCTCCACCGTGGCGGCATACTCTGTCTCTGGGATGGCCAGGTGCTCTTGGTCAATGTCCATCAACTTAATATCATACTCGCTTATTCGGTCGGTCTCGGCGCTCTCAAACATGAGGTTCACGGCATCAGGCGAGTCGTCCGCCTTGAGTGTGAGGATGTCTTCGTTCTGAGCGGCACGCAGAACCTTGGTCAAGGAAACCAGGTTGATACCGAGGGCAATGTTGCGGTCGCAGCGGTAGGGCGAGAAACCCTCAGCCTTGAGAAGCATGGAAACTAGAGCTACGTGAGAGTTGTCCATGGCCTGAAGGGCGATTCCCGAGTCATTGCAGTCAAAGTTGCAGTCCTGTACGAGATCTTTGATAGCGTCGACGACCTGGACAGAGCGTGGATCAGGTCAGTCATGAAGCCGAGAGGCAAACCCGGAATTGAGGCTCACGTACGCGCTTGAGAAGGCTTGCTTGTTCTAGTCGCGCTTCCAACACTGGGATGACGGTCAGAGGATATTCATTGAAACAATTGGACAAGAACTGCCTACTCTTGATTATGTGTGTCTGGATGTCGAAACAAAGGATATAGGTAAAAGGTGATGATAGTGAAAGTGAAACGAGGTGTCAAATAACAATGATTCTGAAGACAAAATTGTCAATTGTTAGCTGTTGTAGTGCGAGAAATTTGAAGGATAGGAGGACTTGCAGGTGAATGGAGGTGTGAAGCTAGAATGGCTCTGGTCAGAGGCTGCAGAGCGAGAGTGAGGTTCTAAAGTGCTGTAAATTCGCGTTCGACGTTTAGTGGGGAATCAGACGCGTTCACGGGTCGCGCGTCATTATGCGTGATTGGCCTTAGGCTGATATGAACAATTGTGGTTAGACCCATCCTAACCTAAGGCAGCAGCATCGTTGCCTTGGAGTATCAGGAAGAGAGTTCATTAAAATTTATCGTATTCCAAGATTAATCTCAAATTATACTATGTACAGCTCAATTTATACATAGGAAATTACTCAGCGGGTGCCAATCTTGAAGAAGCAATTGCGCCAGTCAAAGCCAAGGAGATAGAAGCGTTCAAAAAGCGCAAGACCAATCAAAGACCAGTGGTTAAGTATGCTGTACAATGGACACAGAAATGTATTAATATAGAGAAGGTCCGTTAGAAGGAAGAAAAGCACAGAACACCAGTGACGCCAATCCGCTCTATTTGCATTGGGTATCAGCCTGCAGAGTTGTTTGGTCAATGCTCGCTCACAGTCAGTGTAAAACATGAATGCCGACGGATATTATATACTCGTTTGTGGAGGGAGAATATCCAGATGGGAGGCAAGTCGAGAAAGAGGGAAGGGAAAAGAATGATAGGATGACAGGTGTGGGTTAGATACTCGTGACCCTCTTTGAAGCTGTCCCTCGAGGTCTCTGCTTGATGACCATTTCGAGCTCTTTCAGCATGCTGGTATTCGCATCCGCTCGTTCACGTGCAGCAGCCTGTTTCGCCCGGTCTTCCTTGACACGGGCAATGCGCTCTTCCCTAGTCAAAGACGCCCTTTTATTGCGGGACGGGAGAACTATAGATTCGAATATCTCCTCCTCGTCGTCGACACTCTGGATAATGCTCGGATCTGGCTTGATATCGCCATTCAGAGCCCGGAGCGCATCTGCTGGGCTTCCCTCTACCGCGGTGGCGCCGCCAAGGCTGGGTGTCGGGGACAATGGCAGCTTTATCCCGCTGGGCGGACGCGACATATGATCTACCGAGGATCGCTTGTCAATGCTGCTCATCAGAGCAGTTTTGCCAGCCTCCCATTCCTGAAGAAGGCCTCTGATGTCCGTTCCAATTGATTCGTATTGGGCAAGAAGGGTTGCCTCGAGTTCTTCCGTGTCGGTAGGCTCTGAAGTGGCAGTGGACAGCTCTCTGATCAGATGCATTTTCGCGTGAAGGGCGCGGATGCCTTGAGTAAGCGTATTGAGCTTTCGAAATTGAGCACGGAGATTCTCCCTGTTAGGAGAGGCCGTAGGCAGCGGCGAAGGAGGAATCACGTCACCTTAAGAACAGAGTCAGTGACGGATGGGATAATACTCTACATTGAGGTGAAACTCACGGTCATCTTCATTGAGAATGCTGGCCATCTTCCGGGTATTCACTCCCGTGACTTGGGCAAGATCTCGCATCTGCTCAATAGCCGTGCTCCATCTTGCGATGTCGGATCCACCACCGTCGGCACCCAGGGCTAGGAGACAGCAAAGAATGCTCTTTCTTACGTTGTATAGCCTTCCAAAAAGGGTGCGAAGCGCGCGGAGTGAGTATTGGTCTTCTGTTTCCCGTTCAGCCAAGGCGATCTCGGCTTCGGTAAGCTCTTCTATTGAGACATCGTAAATGTCGTGGTACTTTGCG